TGCGCCTATAGTCCCAGCGACTCGGGAGGCTGAGGCAGGAGGATTGCTTGAGCCTGGGAGTTTGAGGTTGCCGTAAGCTAGGCTGACAACATGGCACCCTGGCCCAGGCGACAGAGCAAGACTCTGTCTCAAAAAAAAAAAAAAAAATCAATACAACATGCTAAATGCTGAGGTCCAGCTAAGCCCAAATTGCTTTGGGAGCCCAGAGGGGCAGATAAGTTCCCCCATCCTACTCCTGAGCCTCAGTTTCCCCAGATATATAACGAGAGGCTTGGACAAGATAGTCCTCCCTAGTAAGGACCCAGGAGGAAAGAGGAATGGGGTAGAGGTCAGTTACTCACCACAGATCTCAGCGAGAGCCCCCAGGGCCCCCAGGAGGAAGAGGAAGGCCCCAAGGTACCCCATGGCAGGAGCAGGTGGGTGAGCAGTGGGCAGGAAGTAGGACAGACTCCTAGGACTGGCCTTGCAGAGGCTCTCCTGACCACAACTGGTCACTGCTCCGAAAAAGGCAGCTTCCTGTCACTGATTAATCCTCCACGCCTGCGGTGCGCTGCTAAGTCAGCAGAGAGAAAGGGGAAAAGGTCTGTTGTTGAGGGGAAAAGAAGACCAAAGAGCAGAAGAAGGAAAGGCAGAGCAGCCTTCCTAGAGGTAGGGGACAAGGACAAGAGGAGGGCAAGTAGGACCTCTTGAGGCCACCCATGTTCTGTCCCCACTGCCCGGGACCAGCACAGAGGGCCTGACATCTGATCTGCTCAAGTCTGCCCGACTGCGCCTGCCTGGTGTTCCCCTAGCTGTTCCAGCAGTGGACCAGCAGGACCCGGGTGCCTACCTGGCGTTCCTCACAAAAAGAGCCCCTCGAAGTGCCCACCCTGGCCGGGGACAAGGAGCGGAAGAGGGAGCTGCAGCTGCAGAGGTCACGTGAGCAGGACTGCAGGAGTCAGCTGTTCTCTAGCAAGCCCAGGGTGGAGGAAGCTGCTGGATCCAGACCAGACAGGCCGGTTTTCAACAAAACAAAACAAACAAGTTAAAGAATGAGATTGAATCAATTGAGTCACCAAGCCACAGAAAGCCAGGCTGCTTGCCAAGACCAGGAAAAGTAACCTTAAAAAAAAACTCTCTGCAAAGAGGAAAAGTAACAAAGGAGTCCTCATCTGCCCAGCCCTACAGAATCAATATATATGAGATAGGGAGTTTGAAATAGTTCCTCCTCTGTGAGATGAGAGGGTTGGACAAGATCATTCTAACAGCTCCCTTCTAGCTCAACTTGTAAAGATATTATAACCTTCAAACACCTCTCTCTAATCATTTCCAAATAAGATTTTTTTTTTTTGAGACAGAGTCTCGCTCTGTTGGCTGGGCTAGAATGCCGTGGCGTCAGCCTAGCTCACAGCAACCTCAAACTCCTGGGCTCAAGTGATCCTTCTGCCTCAGCCTCCCTCCCGAGTAGCTGGGACTACAGGCATGAGCCACCATGCCCGGCTAATTTTTTCTATATATATTTTTAGTTGTCCAGCTAATTTCTATTTTTTTTTTTAGCAGAGATGGGGTCTCGCTCTTGCTCAGGCTGGTCTCGAACTCTTGACCTCAAGTGATCCTCCCACCTCAGCCTCCCAGAGTGGAGGATTACAGGCATGAGCCACTATGCCTGGCCTTGAATCTTAAGCTTAAAAAAGACATAACACATGTTAATTGCACAAAAAATTAGAAAATACAGATGTATTAAGAAGGAAGGAGGAGGGGACAGGGGAGAAAAGGAGGAAGAGGAGAAAGAGAAAACAAAGAAAAAGAAAATCATCAAAATTCCCATAAGCTAGAGCAGCAGTTCTCAAAGTGTGGTGCCTGGATGCATGGCAGTCTCCAAGACCCTTTTAGGGGGTCTGTGAGTTCAAAATGACTTTCAAAGTAATATTAAGACACTATTTGCCTTTTTCACTGGGCATCTGCACTGATGGTACTAAGCAGTGGTGTCTCAAACTGCTGGTGCCTTAGCTTGAATCAAGGCAGTGGCATCAAACTGTACTAAATAAGTAAGAAAAAAACCTATTATCTGAGGAATGCGAGCCCCTTTAAATTATCAGCCCCTTCTAGGCATTTAAAATATAACAGCAGGCAAGTCTCACTCTCCCTTGAGCTAAATACTTACCTCTTGAAGCTACCTGCTATGTGGGTTTTAGACTGGGGCCAAGTAGCCATAATATGCCATGCACCCTGGAGTCCATCAATGTACAGCCAATCGCTAAGTAATGTTATTTCTGTAAGCCAATGAGAATTCCTGATGAACAACTTTGAAATCACTCCCTTTCCCGATTAGTCCTTTTTTTCTTTAAAAACTTGAGTCTGTATTTTATTCACTGGAGCACTCCCCAAGACAACTTGGAAGTGTGTACTGGGCTGCAGTCCTCAACCTTAGCACTTGAGTAAATTCTCTTTAAACTACATTCTGACCTTTTTGATTATTTTAAATTGACATAATAGTCACTATATTCTTGACCCCCCACCATGTACCCAGAGGGGAGGAAAGCTGGTTTCATTTAAGAATGTCCTAGATAAAGCAACAAATTTATTAAATCTCAACAACAACAAAAAATGATTGTCCGACAGACCTGGACTCCAATCTGTGTGGCCTTTGGCATGTCACCTAACCTTTCCAAGCCTGTTTTTTTATAAAATGAGAGTGTAATACTTTGCTTATAGGTTTCTTTTCTCTTTTTATTTATTTTTTCTGGCTTTATTGTGATATAGTTGACAAAAAGGGTCTGGATCCCAGCTAAGGACCAGAAAACATCCCTGCATGTGGCACAAGACATATTAGGAAATATAGGATAGTTCTATGACAGAATCTTAGTTATCCTGTCTGACAGCCTTCCCTTCTCCCCCCTGCACTCCCTCCCTGTTCAGGCACTGGCTATCCTGACCAGGACCCCTGGAGGAGACACACTGGATTCCTGCTGGCAGGTCCCAGGAGAACCGCCCAGACTTACCTTTGGAACTGCTTCGGATCTACAGGATGCTCTGTGGAACTCTTGATCCCACTCCAAAGTAAATATTGAGCCCAGTTTCCTCTCTTTTGTGTGAAGGCTGGAGGTGGCCAGGGAAAGGAAACTGGCAGGGAAACAGTGGAAAAGACAATGCTTCCAGGTCCTGGAGGCCAGAAATGGCGGAGCTAGAAGGACATGGCCTTGGTGTCTGATCAACCTGGGCTCAGACTTAGAATATGCAACTTACCTTCGTGTAGATTTGGACATATTATCTTCTCTCTCTCCTTCAGTTTTCTTATCTCTAATGGGATCATAACAAGACCCATATGTGGGAGGGTTTTTACGAAGATTAAAGTAGATCAAGTAACTGGCCCACAGTCTGCATTCATGGAACAGATTCTGACTCAAGACAAATCCACCAAGTGCCCACTACATGCCAAGCAATGGATATACATTTTTTTAAATTAGTCTTCAGAACAACTGCATTATCCCCAGCTTGCTAATGAAGAGACATGCTCAGAAGGGACAATGGATTACCCTAGGGTCACAGTAATCAGTGGCTAAGTCACCTTCCTCGGCTTCATACTGCCGTTCTGGGACTGCTTCCCTTCCCACTGTTCCCACTGATACATATTATCAGGGACTTGCAAATTAAAACGAGGAGATATCACCGAACACCTGTGAGAATGGGTTTATTGACTTTAATGGGTTTAAAGTATTGACAATACTTTAAACTTTAGCCATTCATTGCTGATGAGAATGCAAAATGGTACAGCCAACTTTGGAAGACAGTGTGGCAGTTTCTTTCAAAGCAAAACATAGTCTTACTATCAGATCTTGTAATTGTACTCCTAGCTATTTACTCATTTGAATACTTATGTCCACATAAAAATCTGCATGTGAGAATTTATAACAACTTTATTCATAACTGCCCAAACCTGGAAGCAACCAAGGTGTCTTTCAATAGATGAATGGATAAACAAATTGTGGTGGGCTGGGCGCAGTGGCTCACGCCTGTATTCCTAGCACTCTGGGAGGCTGAGGCGGGAGGATCTCTTGAGCTCAGGAGTTCAAGATCAGCCCGAGCAAGAGGCAGACCTTATCTCTACTAAAAATAGAAAAAATTAAGGCCGGGTGTGGTGGTTCAGGCTTGTAATCCTAGCACTCTGGGAGGCTGAGGCGGGTGAATCGCTCAAGGTCAGAAGTTCAAGACCGGCCTGAGCAAGAGCAAGACCCCGTCTTCTACTAAAAATGAAAAGAAATTAGCTGGACAACTAAAAATATATAGAAAAAATCAGCCAGGCATGGTGGCGCATGCCTGTAGTCCCAGCTACTAGGGAGGCTGAGGCAAGAGGATCGCTTGAGCCCAGGAGTTTGAGGTTGCTGTGAGCTAGGCTGACGCCACGGCACTCACTCTAGCCTGGGCAACAAAGCAAGACTCTGTCTGAAAAAGAAAAAAAAAAATTGTAGTGCATTTACACAATGAAATATATTTATCATTTCTTTGTGTTGGGAACATTCAATATGCTCCTTCTAGCTATTTAAAACTATCTATTATATTATTGCTAACTGTAGTCATCCTATGGTGGTATAGAACACTAGAACTTATTCCTCCTATCTTGCTGAAATTTTGTATCCTTTAACAAATCTCTCCCTAACCCTCCCTTCCCTCTACCCTTTCTTGCCTCTAGTATCCTCTCTTCTACTTTCTGTTCCCATGAAATCAACTTTGTTTAGCTTCCACATTAAGAGTGAGAACATGCAGTGTTTAACTTTCTGTTCCTGGTTTATTTCACTTAACGTCTTCCAGTTCCATCCATGTTGCTGGGAATGACAGGATTTCATTCTTTTTTATGGCTGAATGGTATTCCACAGTGTACCTATACCACATTTTCTTTATCCATTCATCTGTTGTTGAACACCTAGGTTGATTCCATATCTTGGCTATTGTGAATAGTGCTGCAATAAACATGGGCGTGCAGAAGTCTCTTTGATGTAATAATTTCTTTTCCTTTGGTAGTGGGATTGCTGGATCATGGAGTAGTTCTATTTGTAGTTTTTTTGAGGTATCTCCATTCTGTTTTCCAGAGTGGCTGTACTAATTTGCAATCTCACCAACAGTGTATAAGAGTTCCCTTTTCCCCACATCCTCGCCAGCATTTATTTTTTGTCTTTTTGATGATACCCATTCTAACTGGGATGAGATGATACTTCACTGTGGTTTTGGTTTGCATTCCTCTGATGATCAGTGATGTTGAGCATCATTTCATATATCTGCTGGTCATTTGTATGTCTTCTTTTGAGAAATGTCTTTTCAGATCATCTGCCTATTTTTAAGTCAGATCGTTTGGTTTTTTTTGTGGTTGAAATGTTTCAGTTCCTTTTATATTCTGGATGTTAATCCTCTGTCAGATGAGTGGTTTGCAACTATTTTCTCCCATTCTACAGGTTTTCTTTTCACTCTTTTGATTGTTTCCTCTGAGCTTTTTTTTGTTTTGTTTTGTTTTTTTTTTTTTGGAGACAGAGTCTCACTCTGTTGCCGGGGCTAGAGTGCCGTGGCGTGAGCCTAGCTCACAGCAACCTCAAACTCCTGGGCTCAAGCGATCCTACTGCCTCAGCCTCCCGAGCAGGGACTACAGGCATACACCACCATGCCTGGCTAATTTTTTCTATAAATTTTAGTTATCCAGCTAATTTCTTTCTATTAATAGTAGAGATGGGGGTCTTGCTCTTGCTCAGGCTGGTCTCAAACTCCCGACCTCGAGCAACCCTCCCGCCTCGGCCTCCCAGAGTGCTAGGATTATAGGCGTGAGCCACCACACCCAGCTGTATATGAGCTTTTTAATCCCATTTATTTTTGCTTTTGTTGCCTGTGCTTTTTGAGGTCTTATTCACAAAATCTTTTCCCAGATCAATGTCCTGAAGAATTTCCTCTATATTTTCTTACAGTAGTTTTGTCATTTGGGGTCTTACATTTAGTTCTTTGATCCATTTTGAGTTGATTTTTGGGAGAGGTGAGAGGTGGGGGTTTAGTTTCATTCTTCTGCATGTGGCTATCTAGTTTTCCCAGCACCACTTATTGAAGAGACTGTCCTTTTCCCAGTGAGCATTCTTGACACCACAAGGGTTATTTTCAGCATGGTAAAACTATTCTGTATGATAATATAATGGTAGATACATGCTGCTATGTATCAAAACCTATAGAATTTTACAGGACATAAAATGAAACTTAGCACATGCAAATTTAAAAACATCACTTAGGAGATGAGGAGCCCCTAAGATGGAATGCTGAACCTGACAATTTAATTTTATTACAAATGTAAGAAACAACCTCACTGAAGGGGGTAAGGAGGGGGAAAGGTGCTGACCTAAGTAACTTCAAAAATGGGTAAAGTCTGTAAGAATAAAAGCAAAAGGATCTGTACATGAGCACTGTATTCTACTTGATAAAGTGGTATCCCGTGAAGTTGTGGGTTAATAATCCAGTACTGCTAGACATGTGTACAGGATTGAGCAATTAAGTAAAAGATGGCAGATATTGGAGAGCAGATTTCTCACAGTTGGAGTGGGAGTTTATAGATAAACAAGGGGAGGAAGGCTAGAATGATCCATGTGGTAATGGTTTAGAGCTGGAGACAACAGTATGAACTTATGTTTATGTTACTGAACCCAGAAGGGGTCCAGCCTGGGTCCGGTTACTCACCACACAGAGAACCAGTTACTGAGACAACGGGTATTGCTAAGAAAGAAGTTGTTTTAATATGAAAGACGTCTGTCGGGAGAAGCCTCACATCCATCTCCCCCACTAAGGGAGAGTACAGGCTTTTTAACAAGGGGCTATGTGCACTGTGGCAGCTGTGGTGAAATTAACAAAGGGCTATGCATTCGGGGCAGGTTAGTAAGGGATGGCGAGTCTTGGCATCAGGAAGTCTGTGCAGGGACCTTTTGGAATCTCAACTCCTTAATCTTGCAGAAATTCTGCCATTTCTGGGAAACAACTCAAGTAGTTAGTTAAAAGTTACAGGGTTTTGGTTGGCAAGCCCTACTGGCCTGAGAATCTAAAACATGAGAGGGAGAGGATTATAAAAAACATATAGAGGTCATTGAAATTTGTTCATAGAACCAGTTACATTTAGCTTCATATAGATATAGATGGTTACATATAGAAATATTTATAGATATGTGTGTATACAATAGAATGGAATATACAGATATATTTTCTTGCTTTGTCAGCTGAGAGAGTCTAGAAGCAAGGATACTCCAGCAGCAATAAGAGCACCTAGTGCCAGATCTTAGTTTATAATATCATTCTCTAGTGAAAGGAACCAGGGCTCCTAAGAGAAATGGCTGATGCTAGGCCTGGGGCAAGAAATACACAAGATGAGTTTGAGGCATCTTGTAGTGCCAACACACCCCACCCCACCCAACGTATACACACAGAAATAGAGTATATCAAAGGGATACAGGAGCCAACTGAAAGGACTCCCCAGTGGAAAAGCCAGAACAATTTGAGTCACAAAATAAATGAAGTAGTATTAGAATACACCCACAGTAAAAAGTAAATGCCCATGCGTCCATATTGTTACAAATAAACCATTGAAAATGAGGATAAATCATTGAAATGGAGGAAAACAGACAAATCTCCCATGCTGAATTCAAAATAATTCAACATAACATGATAAATAACATGACAAATCATGTTGATGGTATATGCCCTCGATGTGATGTGATGAGAATGGCGTTTCACCTCTGCAGTCTTCCTCCTTCCAACTCCAGTTTAACCATGAGAAAAACATCAAATTCCAAAGAAGGCATATTCTAAAAAATACCTGATCAGTACTCCTCAAAACTTTCACGGTCATTGAAAACAAGGAAAGTCTAAGAAACCGTCACAGCCAAAAGGAGTGTAAGGAGAAATGACAGCTAAATGCAATGTGGTATCCATTATGGGATCCTGGAACAGAAGAAAAGGATATTAGGTTAAAAACTAAGGAAATCTGAAAATGCGTGGACTTTAGTTAATAATGTATTGATATTGGTTCATTAGTAATAGCAAATGCGCCATACTAATGTTGGATGTTAATAATAAGGAAAATTGGTTGTAAGGTATATGGAAACTTTCTGTTCTCTCGACCTAATTTTTATATAAATCCAAAACTGTTCTTAAAAACAAAGT